CATTTGTAATAGTCTTAGATCTATTTTTCCCGCAACTTTTAACTGTTAACAAAAGCATGAAAGAATGTATGGATCAAAATAAAATCAAGCGTAGATCACAATAAACATGACAAGACAAATATCAATGAAAACGACACACGAATCGCACACACCACCCCTAGGGTACGCCTCACTGTTGCCTTGCCTCGAAAGGTGATCGTCGAGTAGAGGACATCTTAGTAAGTCCTCATGATCCGGGAACCTGGCATGAGGGTAGCTTCTAAGGTGTCTTCCCATTGCTCTGGTGATCACCATGTCCCTACAAACTCGAATTGACCCGAACACCTCCAACGGTGGTGCTACCTACCTCTCAATGGTGGGATGGCACTACTTTAAAGGACATTTACACAGACGAATTCCTTAGGGTAGGTAGGTTCTCAAGGATACTTGCTCTAATCTCAAAACAAATTCAAAAAGACTTTTCACACCAACACACTTTCAAAAGCTTTCAAAGCAAATTTTTCAAACACTCTGACGTACGAGTCGAACTGAAATTTTTCAAAGAAACTTTTTTAAAACCCACAATTGAAAAGCAAACAAACATTTTTGAAAACACATTGAGCAAGTACCTAAGAGCCCATGGATAACCATGGATAGAAAGGGTGCTAACACCTTCCCTTTCTATAATCTACCTCCCGAACCGAGAGCAATCTCTTTAAGGAATTTTTCTGTGCTTTTGTCCTTTCCATCTGGAGAAAATAAAAGACGGTGGCGACTCTTGCTTCCGCGACATTTCGCGAACCAGCGTTAAACAGTCAGTTCCAGATCCACCGATCACAGGATGGAATTTATGTATTCTGAGAAAGGAATAATTTTGCATCTGATGAAGTATGAACTAGAGCTTCTGAAGAGATTTGAGCTAGAAAATTGCAAAGTTGCCATTAAACCTACTGATACAAATCAGAAGTTGGACTCTGATTCTGATGGAGAGGATGTGAATACTACAATCTTCAAACAGATGGTTGGTTCTCTAAGGTATCTGTGTAATACCAGACCTGATATTTGCTATGCAGTTGGAATGGTTAGCAGATTTATGAGCAAACCAAAGTGGTCTCATTACCAAGCTGCAGTCAGGATTCTGAGGTATGTGAAGGGAACTCTGAAATATGGAGTGTTATTTCCGTCTGGAAGAAAGATCGAATAAGAACTTTTGAGTTATTCTGATTCTGATTGGTGCGTAGATAGAGTTGACAGAAGAAGTACTTCTTGATACTTGTTCAAATTTCTGGGAGGTCCTATTTCTTAGTGTTCCAAGAAGCAACATGTTGTTGCTCTGTCAACTCGTGAAGCTGAATATATTGCAAGCGCTCTGACTGCGTGTCAAACTGTGTGGATTCTGAACTTGCTGAAAGATCTGAAGATTGAGGTAAATAAACCTCTAAAGTTGATGATTGATAACAAGTCTGCAATCAATCTTGCCAAGAATTCAGTGTTGCGTGAGAGAAACAAGCATATTGAGACTAAGTATCATTTTCTAAAGAATCAAGTTCAGAATAAAATATTAGAAGTTGTACACTGTAGCACCCAGAAGCAGTTGACAGATGTTCTGACAAAAACTATCAAAACAAATCAATTTCTTGATTTAAGGGATGAAATTAGTATTGTCAGTTTTGAATAAATATAAATTAAATGATGATGTTAAAATTAATTTAGGTTTTATAATTAATTAAATATTAATTTTTTTTATTTTAGATTTTATAATTAATTAGATATTTAATTATTTTTGTTTTTTATAACCAACAAAAATGATGCAAACCTGCCATCTGATGAGATTTTGAAATGGTCTTTGGGTCAGCACCAGTTTGAGGGACCTAAAGAGGAGGTGGCCTCCGTAGCTATAGCTAACGTTGAACTAAGGAAAATCCACTGGGAGGCTTGGTTTTGTTAGAGGATCTTTGATTTGAGTTTCGAAGTTCTTCGTCTCGGTAGGGAATCTTTGAACTTTGAAGTGGCAGTGACCTGAGCAAATGCTCTGGGTTTTGAGAACGCGATAGCCCATTTTTGTGTTCTAAATCCTTCGGTCTCTCTGGTGACTTCCGGCCTTGACCCCCGTAAGGTGGAGCGGGAAGGTCGGATTGAATGAAAATTGGATAACTATGGTTGTATGAAGCTTTCTAGGCAATGTTTCTTCCCCATATTTTAACAGTTTTCCCTTCGTAATTTGTTGGATCTCCATGTCGTATGTCTCTGAGAGATATCTTATTTTTGTAGAGACCTTGATTCTAAGGTTCGTTTGTATGACAACTACCAATTTTTCTTTGTTATCCTGGCCTCAAGGTGACCCTCAGTTTATTAGGCCATTGTTCTTTTCGGCCCTTGAACAGCCTCGGTTCATAGAAGTTTATGCCTTCTATGAAGTGAGATTTTAAAAGATATTTTTTTATAACTATTTGTGTGTACCATATTGTATCAATTTCTTTTATAACAATTTCTCTGGTGCACCAAATTGTATCTACTAGTTAGTTTAATTCTCATGAAGTTCAATCTTCTAAGGACAATTTATTGACTCAACTTTTACTATAAGATGAAAATCCTAATTGAAAACTTTTACAATTTATCGCGGAAAAAATTCTAATAGCTCCTGCCGAGCATGTTGCACTAGTCAATGCAATATAAACACGCGCATGAATCAAACATTGTCGCTCGACGAGCTCAGTTTTGTTGCCAGACGAGACTAGGAAGAAGCAATATAAACACACATGAATCAACAGAACTGAGTAATCATTGTCACATTTACAACAAAACTGAGTAAATGAACAAACTGTGGTATCTTATACATGTTATGTGTCACACATTCATATTATTATAGAAATATATAAACTCGGATGGTAGATTTGCATAATCATTGCAAGTGTAAGACTTGATCTCTGGCCTCACACCATTCGGCCTTTTGTCGAAAAACACAACAATCACAGTTATATCATCATGATAAAGCGGTCTAGATCTGTCAAGTACCATATCCCAATTCCCACTAGCACAATTTCCCTTAGGAAGCTCTACAATGTCACTGTATTTGCTTTCCCTTTTACTAGCCCCCTTCTCTATAGCAATTATGGCTAGTTTTTTCGCGATATCATCTCGTGGACTGGTGTGAACAATTCTAGCAGCAAGCTCATTTGACATTAATTTCCAAAATCCACTAGATCCAAATATAATGAATATATCACTGTCTTTCAAGTCTCTTGAATAAACATCGGGTTCTGATCTTAGCACAGGTCCTGTAAAAGCTGAAACCACTCGTTCTCGCATTGGGATTTGGAATGAACTCCTTTGAGTAAACGGCACCTTCTTCAAGTATGCATATCCTATGCATCTGCTTGTCTCGATTAAGCCTTTAATAGTCCATGATGGATCTTTGTTAGCATGATAATTCTCATCTGGGTGATACAGTTCACTAAATTCGTAAATAGGTTCATCATCTGGATGCAACTTACGGAGTTCTTTTTGAATATCTGAATTATCACAATTGTGATCTCTAACCATTTGCTTCACACGCAATCTTTTAAACGGACCAACATCCTTCTCAGAACAAAGTATAGCGCGCGAGTCTCCAACATTGGCAAGATATACTATCCCTCGCCATATAAAACAAATCAAACAACCTGAACTAACTAAAGCTATATGTTCCTGATGTTGATGCTCAAAACTAGTTCTAGCAAACTCCATAAATCCGCTTTCGATTTCCTCAACAACTTCCCTCAAAATAGCCACAGTCATATTGTTATTATTCTCCATAATACGCCCTGCAATTTATAACCATTGTAATGATTATAAGACAATAACACACACATGACTGAAAATTCAATCAAGAAAGAAACAAAGAATGTAAAAAGACTCACTCAATAGACCCTGAAAGATGTGCCTACGAATGTAGGTGGCAGCGGTGTTTCCTTTAAAGCCATCATAAATTCCAACGAAGATTGCATCATGGCTAACATCGACATGGCTGTGATCTTCCATATCCTTATTTGACTGAACTGCAGCTATGGAGAATTCGCCACGGTAATGCCTTTCCAGTCTCATCGACCTCGCTAAAGGGTCAGCATTAAAAGTTTCAGTGCTGACACGATTAGTTTTGTACGGGAACAGGACCCCGAAAAGTAGATATTTTAGAAACAGCCCCATGATGCTGTGTTTTCACTTTCTGAAGACAAGAAAGTATGATTAGAGAGAAAAGATTGAAGGAGAAAGGAAAGGGTGAATGAGTGGTGACTGGTGAGTGTGTTGAATGATTTAATGAATGTTGATTACTAACTCTGGTAACAGAAAATCAACTAACTCTGGTAACAGAAAATGTTAAGTCTCAACAGAAATATATAACTGAATTTAACTAACTCTGTTGTAAAATAACTGAATTGACAACAGAATTATATATAGGGCCTGTTCGGATAAACAGCTTATTTGCAGCTAATGAGTGATAAGTGATAAGTACTTAAGATTGGACCCACATTTCAGAATACCACTCTCATACTTAGGGCCTATCTCTAACCATTTTCAGATATTTGAAAGATTATTTATTATTTTGATATAATTTAATAGAGTGTGATAGTTGAAAGTTTTTAATAATGACACCACAAACTCTTGCTTGGGTCGCAAGCTAGAGATAGACCCGTCAATGACACCTCTCGGAAATATAGCACAATCTTGGAAATTGCAAACCTTTTTCTGATAAAAGACTTAGCTTTGACAGAAACACTAACCAAAGCTTTGCCATCTTGTACTGACATAAACATTCTATAATCGGTTTTGCCATAAAAATTCTATCATCGGTTCTTCCATAAACATGATATTATTTTGAAAGAAACTATTTTCAATTTATTCTACTGTTGCTCATTTGTTCTATCTACTTTATGTATAATGTTTCTATGCAATAATAAGTATGCTATTAACTTAACTGATCTGGACACTTTTTCACCATTGATTCAGACACATGGTATAATTATAAAGGTGAAAATAAATGATCAATATAAAATAGCATCCGATGCTAAAGTCGAATGAATAACCATTGGTTCACGATCACGAGTATACATAAAACGAAAATTGGAAAAAAGAGCCTTGTCATAGAAGCTTCTGAAGGAATTGATCCTTGGCACTGAGGGGATCACATTCGGCATCACAGACATATCTATATCTGGCTTTTTGTCGAGAAACACAACAGTCACAAAGATATCATCATGATAACTCCGCCTTGTTCTTTCAACAGAAACACTTGGATCCTTAGAAACCTTCAAAAGCTCACTATAGCTTATATTCTTTTGTCTAGCTGCAATCTCTAGAGCAATCCTCACAAGTCTTTTTGCAATTCCCTGCAACATAAAACCAACATGCCATGCCATAAGTACTAGTATTATCAGTAAATAATAAAAAGAAGAAGCCCTTACTTGTCGTGGATTGGTGTTAACAATTTTAGCCGCTTCCTTATATTAGAGGGTAATTTAATATTTACCATATGTAGAATATTTCCTTTAGGCCCTATGTGACATTCTTATCTTTGTTCATTTTGTGTATAAATAGGTGTACTAGGTTTACATTTATGACACCCAATTCCTTCAATCATTAGTGGCAGCTTTTAGCATTTATTCCTTTTCTCTCTTCTTCCTCAATTTCATCACCTTGCACTAACAAATTGGTATCTAGAGCTCTTGGTTTGTTCTGAAATTATGGGAAACACGAGTGATAGTGAGCTGTGTGTTTGATTTTTGAATCTTGAACAAAAATCTGAAACAAAATCACACTGATTCTGTGGGTTTGGGAAACACTGAGTGAGAAATCTGAGATATGAGTTTTTGTGCAAGGTTTAAGATGAATGGAGGCAGTAGTTTGAACACTAAACTTCCAGTTTTTGATGGCAAAAACTGGAACAGATGGAAGATACAAATGCGTGTGCTGTTTGGTGTTCAGGATGTTCTGGATCTTGTTTCTGAAGGTTATGTTCCAGTTGCAGCAGATGCTACTGAAGAACAAAAATCAGAAGAAAGAGTTGTGAGGAAGAGGGATCAGAAAGCTTTGTTCTTTATCCATCAGTGTGTGGATGAAAATATGTTTGAGAAGATTGTTGATTCGACGACGTCGAAAGGGGCATGGGATATACTTACCAGATGTTATGGTGGTGACGTATCAGTAAAGAAGGTAAAGCTTCAGTCCCCGCGAAAACAATATGAAAATCTCAGCATGAAGAACAGTGAGAAAGTTTCTGAGTACATCTCCAGAATGATTCTGATCACTAATGAAATGAAGGCTTGTGGAGAAACACTTTCTGAACAGGTAATCATAGAAAAGATTTTGAGGTCACTTACTCCTCAGTTTGATTACATTGTTGTTTCTATTGAACATTCTAAAAATCTGGAAACCATGAGAATAGAAGAGTTGCAAAGCAGTCTAGAAGCGCAAGAGTTGCGTCTGACTGAAAGAACTTCTGAGAGGGAAGTGGAGCAAGCTCTGAAGGCTTCTTTTGTCAAGAAGGACCAGAAGCAGAATAGACATGGTGATAAATTTCAGAAGTCAGAAACCTTAACTTCTGATGAAAAGAAATATCAGAAGGGAAAGGAAAGGTATGACAAGAAGAAGGTTCAATGTTACTACTGTAAACAGTTTGGCCATTTTGCCAGAGACTGTAGAAACAAAGGAAGGAAATAAGAAGAAGAAAATATAGTCAGAGAAGATTCTGATGATGAACCTGTGCTACTGATGGCTTTTGATTCTGATGGAAACTGTTCAGGAGATTTGTGGTATATGGACACTGGCTGTTCAAACTACTTGACTGGGAACAAACAATGGCTGATAGACTTTGACTCCAGAAGGAGAACAAAGATCAGATGTGTTGATGATAAGTACCTTAATACAAAATGTATGGGAAATGTTAGAGTCAGAGTGAAGAATGGAAGAAACATTATGATCAAAGACGTTTGGTATGTTCCTGGAATTAAAAGCAATTTGATGAGTGTGGGTCAACTTATTGAGAAAGGTTTCTCAGTGGTTATGAAGGACAATCTCTTGACGTTGTATGATTCTAATCAGAAGTTGATTATGAAGTCTGAGCAGGGAAGCAACAGAACATTCAAGGTGAATGTAGAAACTTCTGAAGCGGAGTGTCTTAGTGCAGAAGGCGCTGAAGCTGATAGTAAGATGTGGCACAAGAGGTTGGGGCACTTGAACTATAGAAGCTTAGGGCATCTAAGTTCTAAGAAGCTCGTACATTGCATTTCGAAGATTGTGAAGCCTCAGAAGTCATGTGAGATATGCATGAAAGGCAAGCAACCAGATTGTCATTTGCATCAAAAGTAGCCCCCAGAGCAAAACATGCTCTGGGAGTAGTACATTCTGATGTGTGTGGACCATTTCCAGTACCTTCACTTGGAGGAAACAAATATTTTGTGTCTTTTATGGATGAGTTCACAAGAATGACATGGGTAACACTCATCAAGTTCAAGCATGAAGTATTTACTGAGTTCCAGAAGTTCAAGGTGAAGGCTGAGAAGCAGAGTGGTCAGAAGCTGAAGATTCTGAGAACAGATGGCGGAGGTGAGTATAAATCTACAGAGTTCCTGAAGTTCTGTGAGGAGAATGGAATAAAACATGAGGTTACTGCTCCATATACTCCTCAGCACAACGGTCTTGCTGAAAGAAGAAACAGAACTTTGCTTGATATGACCAGAAGTATGCTGAAAGAGAAGAAGTTACCTCACATGTTATGGGGAGAAGCTGTTGCCACATCAGCATATGTTCTGAATAGGTGTCCAACAAAGAAGCTGAAGGAAACTGTTCCTTTAGAAAAATGGACTGGAGACAAGCAAAGTGTTAGCCATCTGAAGGTGTTTGGTTTTGTATGCTACAAACACGTTCCAGATGCTAGAAGACGAAAACTGGATGATAGAAGCAAAACAATGTTACTGGTGGGGTACCACAGTACAGGTGCCTATAAGCTTTATTGTCCAGAAACCAATAAAGTTGAAATCAACAGAGACGTCATTGTGAAAGATTCAGAAACATGGGATTGGAACAAGTTTCAATCAGATTCTGGTGTAACGCCAACACCAGGGTTAGTTTCTGAAGATTCTTCAGAAAGTTCTGAAGACGAGTCAGAAGATGAAGACTCTGAAGATGAGTCAGAATCTCAGGGAGATTCTGATAGTGGATCTGATTCTGATCCAGATTCTGATGATGATCCAGAATCTGGTGGTGATTATACTTCTGGAAGGAAAAACTCTGAAGACATAGGGTCGGGCGAACAAGTTTCCAGAAGTAACTCTGAAGGTGGTAATTCTGAAGGAAATAATTCTGGACAAAGTCCAGAAGCCAACACAGTTCCGAGTTCTGGAGAAGCTTCAGAACAAGATCAGAGGCCACATAGAATCAGACGAATACCAAGTAGGTTTGCAGATTTTAGCATGTTGCATGATACTGAAGTAGATTCTGAAGGAGAAATCGTTCAGTGTGCCATGCTAGTAGATTATGAACCAGTGGGTATTGAAGAAGCGCTCAAGAAGAAAGTATGGTTGAATGCCATGAAAGAAGAACTTGAGGCTATTGAAAGAAACAAGACTTGGAAGCTGGCAGAACTTCCAAAAGGCAAGAAATCCATCAGCGTCAGATGGGTTTTCAAGCAGAAGCTAAAGCCAGATGGATCAATTGGAAAACACAAAGCGAGACTAGTGGCCAGAGGTTTTCTTCAGAAACCTGGACTAGATTACTTTGAGGTGTTTGCGCCTGTAGCTAGACACGAAACAATCAGACTGGTGATTGCTTTAGCTGCAAATAGAAATTGGCCTTTGATACATCTGGATGTGAAGTCTGCATTTCTGAACGGTCCATTACAAGAAGAAGTTTATGTGTCACAACCTCCTGGATTTGTGAAAAAGAATCAGGAAGGGATGGTATACAAGTTAAATAAAGCTCTGTATGGACTGAAGCAAGCGCCCAGAGCTTGGAATTTGAAGATTGATTCGTTTTTCAAGGAACAAGGGTTTCAGAAGTGTGAGATGGAGTATGGTGTTTATGTTCAACATACTTCAGAAGGTAATATGATTCTGGTCTGTTTGTATGTTGATGACATATTACTCATAGGAAGTTTTGAACAAGAAACAGTTGAGTTCAAGAAAGTTCTGATGAATGCGTTTGAGATGACAGATCTTGGAAAAATGAGTTTCTTTCTAGGGATGGAATTTATATACTCTGAGAAAGGAATCATCTTACATCATAAGAAGTATGAACTGGAGCTTCTGAAGATATTTGAGCTAGAAAATTGTAAGGTTGCTATCACACCTGCTAATACGAATCAGAAGTTGGATTCTGATTCTGATGGAGAGGATGTGGATGCTACAACCTTCAAACAGATGGTTGGTTCTCTGAGGTATTTGTGTAATACCAGACCTGATATTTGATATGCAGTTGGAATTGTCAGCAGATACATGAGCAAACCAAAGTGGTCTCATTACCAAGCTGCTGTCAGGATTCTGAGGTATGTAAAAGGAACTCTGAAATATGGAGTGTTATTTCCTTCTGGAGGAAAGATCAAATCAGAACTTCTGAGTTATTCTAATTCTGATTGGTGTGGAGATAGGGTTGACAGAAGAAGTACTTCTGGGTACTTATTCAAGTTTCTGGGAGGTCCAATTTCTTGGACTTCCAAGAAACAGCCTGTTGTGGCTTTGTCAACATGTGAAGCTGAATACATTGTCGGTGTTGTAGCTGCTTGTCAAGTAGTTTGGCTTCTGAATCTGCTGCATGATCTGAAGGTTGAAGTTGAGGAACCTCTGAAGCTGATGATTGATAATAAGTCTGCAATTAATCTTGCAAAGAATCCAGTGCTACATGGAAGAAGCAAGCACATTGAGACGAAGTATCACTTTCTCAGAAGTCAAGTGCAGAAAGGAGTGTTAGAAGTTCTGCACTGTAGCACTCAGAAGCAGCTAGCAGATGTTCTGACAAAGGCGATAAAAACAGACCAATTTCTTCGCTTGAGAAATGAAATTGGTGTTGTTAACTTTTGATAAGTTACTAAATTACGAGATGGTATTAGAGGGTAATTTAGTATTTACCATATGTAGGATATTTCCTTTAGGCCCTATGTGGCATTCTTATCTTTGTTCATTTTGTGTATAAATAGGTGTACTAGGTTTACATTTATGACACCCAATTCCTTCAATCATTAGTGGCAGCTTTTAGCATTTATTCCTTTTCTCTATTCTTCCTCAATTTCATCACCTTGCACTAACACCTTATTTGTCAGTAATTTCCAAAGTCCACCAGATCCAAATATGATGAATTTATCGTTGTCTCTTAAGACCCTTGAATATATCTTGGGTTCTGTTGATAGCAAGGGTCGGGTAAAATCAGAAGGTGCGAGTTCTGTCCGCGGTACTTTGAAAGATGGCATTAAAGTGAAACGTGCCCGCTTCAAATATGCATTTCCTATACATCTGCCTCCCTGCGCTTATGCCTGCAACACGCCATGCGTCATTATCATACTTTACAATATCTGGATCATCTGGATGCAATCTCCTAAGTTATTTTTTAACATGCTTGTTACCAGCGTTGTGATCTCTTACCAACTGCCAAACACGGAGTATATCAAATGGACCCAAAGAACCCATTACAGCATGGGAGTCTCCAACGTTAGCGATATATAGTATCCCTTTCCATATAATACAACACAGACAGCCAGAACTAGCTAGAACTCGCTGCGGCTCCGATGATGTAACTCATCAGCATCAAGCATAAACCTTTTCTCCATTTTATCAACAACATCCCACATAATATCTTCAGACATATTATCATCATTATGCTTAATATGATCTGTAACCATAAATTTTTAACAACAGAATTGTTGGAACATGTCCATGTTTCAATATGTTGAATTTAAAAATTTCTGAAGTCCCACATTGTTAGAATATTTTTTTGGTTGAAAAAACCATTTAGTCCCACATTGCTCATGTGAGAAATATTAACTATCCTACTTCACTATATAAGGAGTGCATATGTTTCATTCCAAATCACACTAAAAACCATTTTATTAGTTTCTCCTTCCTCACTCTTATAACTCTGCGTCTCTCGAATTGTCGAAGCGCCATCGTCTTCTTCCCCTTTCTTCTTACTCATTGAATTTTTTGAGTATTTTCTTGAATTATCTTTAGAGAATTATGTTAATTTCTCCTCAGTTGAGAAATTTTCAAGTTTAATCTTTTGGATTCTCTTTGGAGAATTATTTGAATTTCTCTTTGTTGGAGAAATTATTTTGAGTGGTCAAATGACTTGTTATTAATTTCTCTTTGGAGAATTATTTGAGTTTCTTTTTGTTTAGGTCTTTGTACCAGATACTACGAGTGGTGTCATGCAAGTAGTAATCGTATAGTATAGAACTGGGCTGTTTTATCTTGGAGGCGGTGCGGTAGTTTGACTGTTTTGCATAATTTTGAGCAGTGTCGCGAAACGTCTTAAAGAGAGCGACTTAGTCCGCGACTCAACCTGGTAATTTCTTCGGTGGCAAATGTTTTAAAATCCAAAAACCAACAATTTTAAGACGTTTCAAACTGCCACGGCCACCGAAGAAATTATTGGTTCTTTTGCGGATATTGTCGTTGAGAAATCGTTCATGTTTGAGAGAAGTCACTTCAAACGTTGGCAACAAAAGATGAAGTTTTTAATGTTGAAAAAAGTTGCTAACGTTTTGATCGATGACATTCTGTTGCTCCTTCTGGATCAATCGAAAAAACTAACGGTAGTAAATCTGGAGATTTAGAAGGAACACTTAATAGTGTTGAACTTGAATCTGCTGCACAGATTAAAGCGAATGATTTACAACATAGTAAAGAAATCACCTTATAGAAAGAGAATGAAAATCTCTACAAAAATCATATTTTGAATAGACTCGCAGATGATCTGTATGATAATTACAGTTGATGTGATACTGCAAAACAAGATTGAGAGACTCGGAAAAAGAAGTATAACGTAGAAGCTGGAGCAAAGAAGTATGTTGTTAGCCGCTACTTCAAGTATCAAATGCGAAAATGTAAGGTCGATGGAGGCTCAATGTTACGAACTTCAAAAGATTGCTTAAAAGATCATCACAAAAGGTATGTGTTTAAATGAACAATTTCAAATTGGTTTTATTATTGACAAACTACCTCATAGTTTGAATGTTTAAAAAAACAAAAAAGGGAATCTTAGAGACAATATCAAAAAAAAAGAAAAAGTCTTGGTTGTTTTAAACAACAAAAAGAAATTCGGTATAGTTCTGAAGCCATTTGGCAAATGATTAAAGAATCAGAACCGCAATATTGTGAACCGAATTAAGAATGAGAATCCTTCTATGATCCCAATAGCTCCAACTAGGTAACAACCACCACCTAAAAGAAATGATGTTGGTTTCCCTTTGTTTTAACTATGGAAAATCAAGTCATATGACTAAGAAATGTAGAAGTAAGCTTGAACTTCTTGGTGTTGTCCCTAATGCATGGGTCAACCTGACTAATGGGCAATTTATTGCTATGGTCATTGAAATCAACATGGTTGATGGATATGTTGGTTGGTGGATAGACATATGCGTCTCTCGTTATGTCTGTTATGATCATGTTATGTTTAAACATACACGAATACTAAAGATAAGAAAGTGTTGTTGGGAGATGGCCAAACCATGAATGTTGCTGGAATTGTAGACATGGAGCTAAATTTCACCTTCAAAAAGACTTTAATCTTAAGGAACGTTATGCATGTTCCTAAGATTAGAAAGAATATTGTTTCTGGTTTTCTTTTAATAAGACATGGTTTAGTCAGTCTATTGGGGTAGATTTATACGCCATTACGAAGAATGAAGTTTATATGTTTAAAATTTTTGTAAAGAATTTAAAAATGATATAATAAGAATTTATAGTGATAGAGAAATTGTACGAGTCTAGTTTATTAATGAATTTTATACATGGAATTGTACATGAAACGACTGCGCCATACTATCTTGCAATGAATGGTATAATAGAAAGAAAGAATAGAACTTTTACTGAACATGTTGTTGCAATTATGATGAATTCTGATGCTGCTCCTCACTGGTGGGGGAAATTTTATTGACTGTTTGCTATGTCCTGAATAGAGTCCCCAAGTCAAAATGTAAGATCTCTCCTTATGAGATATTAAAGAAAAGACAATCAAACTTGTCTTATTTGAGAACTTGGGGTTGTCTGACTTATGTCAGAATTCCGGATCTGAAACGAGTTAAACTCGCTAGTAGAGCATATAAATGTTTTTTTATTCGGTATGCAGCAAACAGTAAAGCATATAGGTTTTATGACCTAAAGGAAAAAGTGATCATAAAATCAACTGATGTTGAATTCTATGAAGACAAATTTCCTTTCAAATTGAGAAATAGTGGGGGCACACAATCGAGTCACATTCCTGTGATAAGAAGCACAGAAAGCAACGACAATGTAGAAACAGAACTTCAACGAAGTAAACGAGTAAGAGTTTCTAAAGACTATAGGCCTGATTATGCGGCTTATAATGTAGAAGAAGATCCAATGAATCTTCAAGAAGCCTTGTCATCTCTGGATGTTTAGTTATGGCAAGAAGCTATCAATGATGAGATAGAATCTCTAGAACCTAACAAGACCTGGCACTTAGTAGACTTGCCTCCTGGTTGCAAACCAATCGGTTGTAAATGGTTTTTGAAAAAGAAACTAAAACCTGATGGAACTATTGATAAATATAAGGTTCGCCTTGTTTCAAAGGGTTTTAGACAAAGAGAAAATATAGATTTCTTTGACACCTTTTCTCCTGTCACTAGAATTACATCCATTAGGGTACTTATTTCAATGGTTGCTATTTATAACTTAATAGTACACTAAATGGTTGTTAAAACAACTTTTTTAAACGGTGACTTAGAAGAAGAAATCTATATGAAACAACCGGGAGGGTTTGTGATCTATGGATAAGAAAATAAGGTCTGTAAGTTAGATAAGTCTTTGTGTGGGCTAAAACAAGCTCCAAAGCAATGGCATGTAAAGTTTGATAACTTAATGATATCGAATGAGTACAAAGTGAATGAAAATGACAAATACGTTTATTACAAATTTGAGAATTGTATTTGCACTATGATATGTCTATTTGTAGACGATCTACTCATATTTGGATCAAACATTCAGGCCATTAATGATATGAAATCATTGTTGTGCAACAACTTTGATATGAAAGACCTCGGAGAAGTGAGTGTGATTCTTGGTATCAAGATCAAGAGATCCGAGCAAGGAATTCCTGTGGATCAATCACAATATGTGAAAAAGATCTTAAAGAAATATAATTACTTTGACAGTAAACTTGTGAGCACACTAAATGATCCAATCGTGAAGCTATTTAAGAACACTGGTAAAAGTGTTAGACAAACAGAACATGCGAGCATCATTGGAAGTCTTAGGTATTCCATTGATTGTACTAAACTTGACATTGCATATGTCGTGGGATTATTGTGCAGGTTTACTAGTAGACCGAGTAATGAACATTGGCAAGATATTGAGCGAGTCATACAGTACCTTAAAAGGACCATGAATCTCGGTTTACATTATCATAGATTTCCTATTGTACCTGAAGGATACAATGATGCAGATTGGAATACCTTATCAGATGATTCCAAAGAAACTAATGGCTATGTATTCAACATAGCTAGATGAGTTGTATCTTGGAAATCAAAGAAACATACTATCCTGAGAATATAGCATTAGCGACTGCTAGTGAAGAAGCAAGTTGGTTAAGATGCTTGCTAACTGAGTTTCCCTTATGGGAAAAACATATGTCAGTTGTGTTGATCCACTGCGATAGTACCGAGGCTATTGCAAAAATTGAGAGCCGTTATTATAATGGTAAAAGACGTCAAATAAGAAGAAAGCACAACACTGTTAGAGATTGTATCTCTAAAGGAGCTGTAAGAGTGGATCATGTACGCACTGATGAAAATTTAGCAGATCCTTTAACGAAAGGATTAGCTAGAGAGAAAGTCTATAATACATCATATAAGATAAGACTAATGCCTATAGGAAAATGAGTTGCTCATGATGGTAACCCGACCTAAATGATTGGAGATTCCAAGAAATAGGTTCAATGGGTAATAACAAATTATGAGTAATATGAGATGATCATGCAAGTAAAGCATGAATCCTGAAGTAATAAGAGGATGAGATAATAGAAACTCTTAATGAGATCTATACTCTGTATGAGGGAGTACCTAGGCTACATGAGTACTCTTGATAGACTCACCTATGTGATTGTGGAACTTAGGCCGGTTCCTATGGAATTTCGAGGCAGAATTCCTAGAGCCTTCATTAAACTGGGATACACGAGCAGGGCCATTAAAGCACGGGCTATTAGAATACACCTTAAGAAAAGGTTGTGTGCGAGTTTGATGTCTGAGATAGAGTTCAAGACATTTGTGTCACTCTTGTTGAATTGGAATCCTACTTGCTATGCAAAGGTTCAAGTCATAAACACCTTTGTTTATGCACAATCTTAGAAACGTTTGACGTTACTTCTAAAATTAATTTTTTAAATTCAAGTGGGGGATTGTTGGAACATGTCCATGTTTCAATATGTTGAATTTAAAAATTTCTCAAGTCCCACATTGTTAGAATATTTTTTTAGTTGAAAAAACCATTTAGTCCCACATTGCCCATGTGAGAAATATTAACTATCCTACTTCACTATATAAGGAGTGCATATGTTTCATTCCAAATCACACCAAAAACTATTCTATTAGTTTTTCCTACCTCACTCTCATAACTCTGCGTCTCTCGAATTGTTGAAGCGCCGTCTTCTTCCCCTTTCTTCCTACTCGTTGAATTTTCCGAGTATTTTTTTGAATTCTCTTTAGAGAATTATGTTAATTTCTCCTCATTTGAGTTGAGAAATTTTTAAGTTTAATCTTTTGGATTCTCTTTGGAGAATTATTTGAATTTCTCTTTGTTGGAGAAATTATTATGAGTGGTCAAATGACCATTATTAATTTCTCTTTGGAGAATTATTTGAGTTTCTTTTTGTTTAATAAATTATTATGACTGGTCTTTGTACCAGATACTACGAGTGATGTTGATACTATATTTGAATGGTCTTGTACCATCATAGGGTGTATTTCTAGACCGATTATCTATCATGCAAGTAGTAATCGTATAATATAGAACTTGGCTGTTTTATCCTGGAGGCGGCACGGTAGTTTGACTGCTTTGCATAATTTTGAGCAGTGCCGCGAAATGTCTTAAAGAGAGCGACCTAGTCCGCGACTCAACCTGGTAATTTCTTCGGTGGCAAATGTTTTAAAATCCAAAAACCAACAAGAACTTCTGGTAAGCTTGATTTTTAACAAAAGAAAACAAGATAAAACATAAAACAGGAAAAAAGACTCACATAATAGAGCCGGGAAGAAGCTATTACTCATATATTCGGAAGCAATGACGCCATTTTGGCCATCATATATTCCAACAAAAAGTGCATCGTTGCCAATCTCAACCTGGATGAAATCTTCCATATCTTCATTTGCCTGTACCGCAGCCATCGAGAATTCACGGAATGGATGCTTAAGTAGTTTCATTGTCCACCCTAAAGGATCATCACGAAAATCTTTAATGTCAATATCGTCAACCATGTCAATAGTGTTTTTGCTTGTGCAAGCACTCGGTACATTTTGAATGTACAGAACCATGATCTTGTGTTTTCACTTGATCTTGGGGAGAAGCAAAATATTAAAGGGTAGTGTCTTTCCAATCTCATCCATCTCGAAAAAAAGGAAGAGTTTAAGTAAGTGTTGAGTTTGTGGAAATACAAATCTGAATCTGGTTGAATGAATCAAAACGGAATATATATTCAAATGCAATTATTTGTGTATACCAAATAGTATGTATTGCAATGAGATTTCAAAAGATATATTCAAATGCAATGATTTATAGTATTTTATAATGTAATCTAATATTAGATGAGTAGTCTAGTGACTGGAGTTCACCTAATTAATTAAAGATGAATAATAATTAATTAAAGATGAATAAGTGGAATATCGCGGGTTCGAACTCGCTCTTGCGCTTAACATCCCTACACAACTACCAATTGAGCTGCCATAAAGGGATCGGGTAGTGTCTTTCCAATCTCATATTATAATGTAATCTAATATTGGATGAGTAGTCTAGTGGCTTGAGTTCACCTAAAGGTAGGTCTTGTCAACCTTTTGGTTAGGTTGTTTGTAGTTTGCCTACTCGAAGTTATGAAAGATAGACATATGATTCTAACATCTAATTTCTCTTATGAAATGTTGATCATTCTCAATATATTTTGTTATATCATGTCGAAATGAGTTTTGAACTATACTAATAGCCGTTTTACTATCAAACTATAATTTCAAGGGAAGCTAGATTTTCATCTCAAATTCTTCTAGGATTTTATAGATCCATAATCCTTCACTAAATTCTTACTAATCTAACCATACACATACATGCACACACAAACACACATGCATGAACGCACACGCGCTCCATATCACAAGTCTATACAATTCAAAATGTATTATAAATAAATAACATCAAAAAATTTGTCGTGGCTAGAAGTAATTCACTAAAACAAATAGCATTACAAAATGATAAGCTCACATTGTTCTTTTACTTCCTTTTTAAGGCTCTCATAAATGAAATTACGATCAAACCAATAACTATCCGATCCTTTAGTCCATCTACCATCACCTATATAAAATTTGTCAAGAGAGCTGGACGTAATTTTCCTTAGGGAATTCACATTTTTCAATAGGTTCCTAGCCAATTCAATTGCATGTGTGGTGCATACACCACCGTGTAGCTCGACATATTTCAATTTATTGTGAAAAAACTTTGCATCTTTTCTAAGAATTTGAAATCCAACCCAATTTGAAACTCTAACCTGCAATTTGAAAAAAATAACAAGATTAGAAGTAGATAATCTTCATCTTTGTATGTATTTAATTTGATATTTTGTATGTGAACATGTTGATGATAAATATATGATGAAAACTCTTGTTTTATGATTTATATTTGAGTTGATCATTATTGAGAAGTATGTTCATCTCTTGACCTAAGTTTTCACTTATCAATAAACAATTTTTAGACATAGTTTTGTGAGTTGATATTCACTAATATTGAGCTTTTAAAGTTATCAAATTGATAGTTAGATAGAGAGATCATATGATCAATTTGATAAAACTCACAATTTGTTTTAGAGATGAAACATATTGAGAGGATATGTGATTATATTTATTGTTAATGAGATACACGCTTTATTGAGAAAATACGTCCGAAGTAGATTATCGAGCCCTAATCTTGACACGCTTTTACCAATCATTTTTAAAACCAAAACTTTATTTTACGGTACTTGATACTTTGCATGAAATCGAAACTTTCCGTTACTAAAATTAAAATTAAACCCTTTTATGAATCTTAAACTTAAAACGATTATAACTGTAGAACGGCGGTGATATCACACCAATCTCTATGGAAAACAATAATTTAAATACTTGCCCTATAAAGTGTTTCCAACATGACTCCAACAAACCCTCAATTCAAGTTGAGTATATATCAATGTCCCAGTACCGAGGTCGAAAGAGCTTATATGAATAGCATCCCATATGCTAATGTAGTAGGTTCATTGATGTATGTTATGGTATGTACTAGACCTGACATAACATATGTAGTGAGCCTTTCCAGGATTCGTCGTGTACCTGTTTACAAGACTTACAAGATTGGGTGAAGATAGTAAAACAGTAATCGAAGGTTATGTCGACTCTGATTATGCAGGTTGTATGGATTCTAAAAAATCTATTTATGGATATGTTTTCACTATGTTTGATACAACAATTGTTTGGAAAGCAACACTTCAGAAGGTTGTCGCATTATCAACCACTGAAGCGGAATATATTGCTTTAACTAAAGCTATGAAAGAAGCATTGTGGCTTGAAGGTTTTTCTAAGGAGCTGAAACTTCATGGTCAAATTATCACTGTTATATGTGATAGTCAAAGTGCAATACACCTGTCGAAGAACTTAGTCTATCATGAGCGAACTAAACACATTGATGTGAGGTTGCATTTCGTTATAGGGGTAATCGAGCATAGAGAAGTCCAAGTGCTGAAGGTTTCGACATATCACAATGCTGCTGATATGATCACCAAGACATTGCCCAGTTGCAAGTTTTTCCACTATATGCAGTTGATAAAGCTGCATGAAGAAAGCTAGTTTACTCTCTCATATTAGAGTTTGTTCTAAGGTGGAGATTTGTGAGATATTGGATCAAATTCTATTGGGTTGAAGAGTAGCTTCTGGTTCGAGAGGATTTGTGTATGCCGTCGAAGTATGTTCACATACTGGTGTCGAAGACCAACATACTGTAGTCGAAGTGTGTTCTAGTATGTGGGTGTCGAAATGCTAGGGGTGTTAGTATTTCGAATTGGACATGTTTGTTATGTTCAATTGTTTAAGTTAGATTGTACTCTAAGTTAGCTTGTAATGACTATTTGTTAAAAAACTCATTATTTTAATATGTTAGGTTTATTATAAATAGCATACTAGTCTCTTGTAATTGAAGAGAAAGTAAAGAATAGCATAGCAACGTATATTTATCCCATAAATAAATAACACCTTTCAAAAAAAATAAATAACACCAAAAATTTGTTCCTAATTCACTAAAAACAAATAACACTACAAAATGATAAGCTCACATTGTTCTTTTACTTCCTTTCTAAGACTCTCATAAATAAAATTACGATCAAACCAATAACTATCGGAGCCTTTAGTCCATCTACCAGCACCTATATAAAATTTGTCAAGAGGGCTGAAAGTAATTTTCCTTAGGGAATTCACATTTTTCATTAGGTTCCTAGCCAACTCAATTGCATTTGTGGTGCATACACCACCGTGTAGCTCAACATATTCCAATTCATTGTGAAAAAACTCTGCATTTTTTCTTTGAATTTGAAATCCAACCCAACTTGAAACTCTAACCTGCAATTTGAAAAATAACAATTTCATCATCCATAAACTAATGCAAAAAGTTTACTCTTAAAGATATAAGATGAACATAAAGACATTGTTAAATAACTCACCGTCAGAGAAAACTTTTGAAGATGTTGAGAAGCTGTTAAAACGTCTAAAATGGAAAAGTTTTCCTTAAAAGGATAATACGCTTCTTCGATAAATAACTCCAATTCTCTTAGATTTTGGAATCTACCCAAAACCTTTAGTCTTGATATCTGCATACATCAATGATATGTAAAGTAAATTAAAATCAACTGGTGACTCAACTGAGTTAAAAGATGTTGGCAAACCATCACATTGAAAAATGTATACTAAAATCTGCTGACTGAGGCAACTAAAATGGAAAACTTATATAGAAATTATAAAAATCAACCAACATATACATGAGTGTCGAATGACTCACCTGCGAATGACCCATGATTATAGCTAGATTCTCAATCTGACTTAACTTTGGAATTGGGCCCAAGGAATTTAGATTTTTCTCTTTTAATTTTGGAATCGAAAAGGAATTTCGATTTTTTTCCCTTACAGCTGCATTCCAAAAGACCTTGGATAACTTTGGTGCAATAACAGAAAATTTTCTCGGGGTGTGACCGCAATATTCAAAGGATGAGAGATTCTTTGAATCAACAGATATCTTATAAAGAGCAGATCTCCCAGAGCAGCAGTCAAATATTTTCAGATGACGCAATGTTGTACTGTTAATTTCCATTTCATCAACCATTGGGCAGTTTTTAAGGGTAACGGATTCAAGTTGGAGACAATGTTGAAACAAATATGGCAAGAACCAAATTTGGAGAAATCGAATTCCATCCAACACAACTGTTGTCACGTTTTTTAAGCTAGACATATCAACAAATCCCATCATGCTACTACTGTAGATAAAGTGGGATAACATATGAGCCTTAAGGTTTATTGAATGGCTATGATGACAAAAATATTCAAGAGAAGAGAGATTTGGTGTGATGATACTAATCACCTTCATATACTTAGTGCGGCAAACAATTTTCAAATGAGACAGTATTTGACTAATTATTGTGTCTACAAATAATAAGTCACATTTATCAAGGGTCAGGTCTACGAGATGCATGCAGTTGGAAAACAGGTCCTCAAGCAGATTCTGCTTCACAATAACTAGTTGCAAGACAAGAGTTGTCAGATTCTTCAATCCATAGAATTCCATAGGTGTTTCCAGGATGCAGTTCTCGAGGTGCAGATAGGTTAGAGAATCAGAGTTAAATAAGAGAGAAAAGGAAAATCTATAAGGTATTATTCTCACAATAAAATCAGTATCACTAGATTCATGCGAGAATAATAGTTCAATATGTTTGACACCCTTAGCGATCGCATGAGAAATCAATCTACCAATGACATCAGTGTGTTCATCACCCAATGGAAATTTTACTCGTATTGAAGTGACCGTGGCGTGTTGATAGTTTAAAACGAATTGATCCAACCTTGCTGTAAATTGAGATCGGAGGATTTGAAATAGTGGAATGTCATTTGGTAGTGTATTACAGCGAAATGTGTTATAGAGATCAAAGTTGTGGTTTGTCGATGATAACATCCATTGGTTTCGCCAATGTTTGGACAACGTGCAAGTTTTGAACTGATCCTTCAAATTTAACTTGGAAAATATAATAGATAAGACACAATTAGGCAACTCACTGTCCATTGTTGCTGCAAGCTATAATGAACACACACCAGACTTCAAATTAATAGAGCATAATTATGAGGGAAACAAACACAAAGTATATATATTAATCTATAAAAAATAATTAGGGTTGGAGAAACGAATACCTTTGAACACAGAAGGGGGCGTTGGAACCTACAACAGGAAGTGAATACGTCTTTTGTGTTGCAACGGCATTAAATAGGACTTCATCTTCATAGAATCAGGTTTTTTTTTTGTGGAACGGGTTTCTTCATTTGGATTAAATGTGCCGGGTCCACTATCACATTAGACGGAATCCCATTAATTTCTTAATGTATCCTATAGAATATTAGCGAGGAATTAATCAGCCACCCCCAAATTATACATTCTAGAATTATTTTTATTGAGTTATGAATAAATTCTTGGATGAAATTTTCGGTAGGATTATTGAAATTTCGGATACAAATAAATTTTTTTGATATATCTCCAGTAAAATTTTTGGTGTACGTAAATTTTTGGTAATATATATGAAATTGTCAATATTATAGAAATAAAAAAATTTGAGTTATACTAAAATTTTCGATAGTTCATGTATTTAAGTTTTTTTGACGATCGAGATTTTGCCGACATCTTTAGAGGGTTCAGATTGTAGCGACAAATTTGTGTGGTCTAGAATGCATCGCCATTTATATGAACAGAAATATATGTTATAGAGAAAAACATCTTAAAAAATGTCTCTTTCTCAATATCTGATTAATGCAAAAGTGTATTACAACGGATGCAGCTTTGCTGTTGAATTTAAGATCCCAGATGGCTCAGCATCCCTTGCCACCTTAAAAGAAACATTGAATGATTTATTGTCTGATTTCTAAAATAGAAGGGTATTAAAGATCGAGTTTCAAAAGGATTGAATGTGAAAGCCATATGAAAATCATTTTATCGTAGGATAACTAAATATCCAATCGAGTTAGATACAGAGATCCGAAGATTCGTCAACGATATAATCAAGATACTAAAACGTTCATAATTATCCGATAATACTTAAGTTTTTATGTTATATTCATTATCGATTCAAAATATATTTTTGGTTTATTTTTGTTGATTTTGATGTCAATATCCTGTTAAAAAAATGATTATGCGACAAACAGTGTTGAGTTGGCACGCTGACGTGGTTAATATTGTTAACTTGACATACTTTTTATTATTTCTTTTATCCTTTTTCATGCATAGACTCAATTTTTTTGTTTTTTCATTTTGGTCCCTGAAAATTAAATTGTAAAAGCTTAAAAATTTTGTTTCCAATGATGCCCGTATGTTAACATAAAAGTCTTAATCCACTAGGTCAAACTTTTCTTTTGTCTACACTATTGCAACGAAAATATATATTACACAGTACTTCAGTATTTAATTAGTTACTTAATATTTTATATTAAATTTACTTTTAATAATTATATTTTATTTTAATAATTTCATTTTATAATAATAATTTCATATTATATTTTAATTACAATTTTATTAATGTTATGAAATGATAAACTAAGAAGTTTAAATATTTTGATTTTAATTTTATTAATATTTTGAAATAAACTAAAAAAGTTAATAAATATAACTATGAAATAATAAATTATTATGAAATGAAATTAAAAGCAAAAGCTTAATAATTTAACTAAAAATTAGTGAGATATTCGTCCACGTGGTATGTAACTTCTTGTTTTCAAAATATAAAAAAATTATAAATAAAATAAATAAAATAATTGTACTAAAGTAGTTTATTATTTTTAAAAGAAAGACATAATTTTAAAATAAAAACAATATTTTATCAATTTTTTAATTATTTAAAAGAAAAACATCAATAATATATATTTCAACTATTTATATATTATCTTTTAAAAAAAAATAATTAAAAATAATTGAAAAATAAAAATATTAGATACACGAATTAATAATTAAAAAACAAAATATTTCTCGTATTTAAATTCATACATTATTTTAAATATATTTACTTTTATTTTCTATAATTATACAAAAAATATAATAATTCATGCCTTCACAAAAATTTTAATCTGATTACTCGTGTTCACACAATACTGATATGTTATTCGTGCATTCACACGATATTTGTGTGTTACCCGTGCGTTTACATAGATATTAATGTGTTATCCGTGCATTTTGATGTGTTACACGGATTTGTTTTCAAAATTAAATAAAAATTAAATAAAATAAAAAAGACAAAAATATATATATATAAAAGTTGAAATGTTAGCTGAATAAATTAACCCGTGTTTATAAATTGTTTTGACATATAAAAGTATTTAGATAATTAGTATATTTTTTAAATAGGAAAATCAAATATACGGTAAATATTAGAAAATTTAATAAAATTAAAAACTAAATTGAATATAAATTAGAATTTTGTTGTGTAATAAAATTATTTATCCACAAAATGCTAAATATAGATAAATTAATATACCTAAACTTAACTAATTATATTTTGTACAAGTTAACAGGAAACGTTTTTCAAGATACCATCTACTCAAAAATACAACTGAAATTTAAAATAGAAGAGTGAAACCTAAACCAGAATGTGCTTTGTATTCACCAAGCAGAGAAAAATCAGCCACCAATGAAGTCATAAAAACTCAAAACAAAAAAAATTTACTACTTTTGTTCACAAGTTATGTAAATAAAATTAAGCATCCAAACTTTCAAGTATTGTAGAAATAGCATTAAATCAGAAAAGATATTAATATTCCTATTTCTTCAACTCCATGTCATCGGGAGGAATTCCTTCAACCTTCTTTGTTCCCAACACTGTTCCATTCTATTATAATATTTGTGTTTTGAAGTCCCTTCCCACAAATCTAAAAAATTGAATGTGTTAAAAGAATATAATCAATTTTACCTAAAAGTTTATTTGTATTAAGATAGAATCTCAAGTTCTTGTGTATAAAAATAAAGGTGTTAACATCCCTAATGACCATTGATCTAACAGCCTCATAGTCCAAGGAATAAATAATGGTATTAACATCTTAAATCAAGAGCAGCCATATCATTTGGAGCAATGATAATAGGAATCTCTTGCAGCAAACATGTTTAGCAAATCAGCCTGAGTCATTCTCCAAACCCTCACAATCAACAATTCTGCTGGTCTGAACAGCTATGGTGCTTCTTCTCTAAAAGAAAATTAAAACACAAGGTAATATTAATGTTGGATAATATTCAAAATTTCAAACCTACCTGTTCTTTTTTGTTACTACCTTACTTTCGCATCATCATATGAAGTCACGCAAATCAAACAATAACTTAATGGATGCAAATTGATATTTTCACAATATTTTATTTAGTTTTATAAACCGTAATCAAATTTAATTAAGACTTCTTTCAATTGTGTATATCAATATGTTCATATTACTATAAAAACTACTCTCATTTACGCCGTAAAATTCACGTTACAACGTAAAAAATTACGTCACAATTCCTAATTTGCGACGTGAGTGATCACGTGGCTGGAGAGCGGGTGACAATTTATTTGCGATGTGATTTTCATGTCACAAAGTTGTGACTTGAAAATCACGTCGCAAGATACTTTTATAAGAATTCTGAACCTGCAGCCCGCCTTTTCGTCATGACCTCCATTTGTCGTGATAAACTCATTAACTCCTTCTATAAAATGGGGTTTAATCGCACGTCTTCCTGAATACAATCTATCGTACATCCAACTACGACCATACCAATAATATTTCATATTGCACATTTATACAATCATTTTCTTCTTATTAACTATAAATATATATTTAAAACAATTTTGATTATAAAACATTTTTTATTAATATATTATGTTTTTTATTAAACTGATTTTATTAAACTGATTTTATTAAATATATTTTATTATATATATATATATATATATATATATATATATATATATATATATATATATATATATATATATATATATATATATATATATATATATATATATATATATATATATATATATATATATATATATATATATATATATATATATATATATATATATATATATATATATATATATTTGATCGTACTTGACCAGAGTGATCGTCAAGGCCTTACGTCGAGTTGAGGTTGAAAGCGAGACGGGGAAGGTACCTGCAAGACACTCTGATGCCAAAGTGTTTCAGGAAGAGTGCAAGCAAGTGTGAGTATGAGTATGAGAAAAATGAGAGAGTATTTATAGTCCCCAGCATTGGGCCACGATGAGGCCTAATAATAAAGACTGTCAGGACTTACGTGTGTATGGAGTCCAGCAAGTAGACTCCCTCCTGGTCAACTGCTCCGCGAGAATAGGGGTTGGACCTATGATTTCTGGATAGCAATTAAGATGACAGTGACGCTGACACGTGGGCCACGTTCCTCAACGGATGCATTGGGAGTTACCCAATGGTCCCTAGCTTG